TATATGTGTATATGTGTATATGTGTATATGTGTATATGTGTATATGTGTATATGTATATATATATATATATATATATATATATATATATATGTGTATATGTGTATATGTGTATATGTATATATGTGTATATGTGTATATATATATATATATATATATATATATATATAATGGCAAAACAATATGTAGGATATTGGTATTTTGCTGCACTACCTACCACTGTCGGTAGGTGAAGATATACCAACAAACATGGTGATGATTGTTTATATTACATTATACCCTAGTGTGAATGAATGACAATACTTACCGAAGGGTCTACCATAAACACCGGTGGTTCCCCAGTATATATGTTTGTGGTCGTAAAGTTTTCTTTGCCCGCATCATCATCAAAGTGACATTGAATAAATGTACGATTTGCTTGTGCACCATCACATATCGCAAGTAAAACTTTAAAACCAAATTCTGCCAAATCATAAACAGCATTCCAGAACTGATGGTATAGTGTGGTAGGATCAACTTCAATTGTTGGGAAATAGCAAACAGGAAATTTAAAGCCAGTTGAACCAATGAACATAAACTGGAGGAGGTGTGTTGCTATAACTGCCTCATCCTTGCCTGTGGTGAGAGGTAGTATAAGAATTGTTAAAAATATAAGGATGTGTCAGATACTGCTTTACTAGATGGTACCAGATAGTATTCCATTGGATATCAGTCACTCAGGGATTCAAGAAAACCGGGTATTTATGGTGGAATACTAAAAATTTAGACATTTTTAACCAAGTACCCGATAGTACTGGATGCCAGTATTTTGTCCCAAACCGCTATCCAGATCCTCATATCCCTATATAGAATTCTTTCTCACTACATTGAACATTAATTGGTATTTTGAAATATTTGCTTAGAGTAATTATATCAGCATATTGTTTTCACATGTATGAGGTTACTATATGGTCAAATTGGTGTACATACAGATACAGCACCAATAATGACCAAATTAAAATTGTAGCCAAATTTCCACCAATAACTAAATATTTTTTTGAATTAATTTAGCTTCTTAATTATTTTTTATCAAAATATTGCTCCCACCACTTCAAATTATGATCACCTACAATGTCTTGAAAATGTACACACGTTGTAATACCTGTTTGTAATACTTTCATGTCCTCATATAGATCACCAAGGTTAACCACGCCAACAATTTTGAATGACTCACCCTTTCTTCTGAGTTGCACATCATCCATTACTACATGTATCAATCTCACTGCAGAATATATAAAATCACAAAGCTAATTAACACTCAATAATTGTTCAGCTTGCTATCTGGGAATTCAGTCTGGGTCATTAGTTATGTACAGTACCAGACCTGTCCATATTAATGTATATATTTTAATACATTTTTATATTGGAGATGTATTATATTGTGCTAAAATAAAGTGTACAGTGAAATCTAGACAGACAAAAGTTCAGGCCTCTATAATATTTTCGTGCCTGCAAGCAGAATTTGGAAATGTGCTAGCAAAAATTTGTGTTCTATTTCAAAAACTTTACATAAAAACAAGGCATTTTACTTGTGCATGCAGTGCCTGCCAATTTTCGATAAATAAAATGATTGCCTGATGAATTTTCCTATTGGTATTAAGAGTATAGTACTGTATGCGAAAATTTATAGGTTAAAAGGTACTTGAAGCGATCACCAGGTTTTGAAAATATTTGATCAGCCATCTCAATCGTTAATTTGACAGTAGCGACGAAACCAATGATGAAGGTCTTTCGTCTGTGCGTTGCCAGCTGCTGACTAGCTGAATCTGTTTTGAGTTGAAGCAGGTAATTGGCTGTGGTTTTCAAAATTTCCTCATACACATTCTTGTTTGATTGTCGTAGTGGTTGTTTGTACCCTTTTCCAATTGAACTTCTTGAATTTAGCATGTCAAAAAGACGGTCGATTGTTCTGGTAAATTTGACAGTGCCACTGCTGTTTTGGAATTTGGGGTTTTTCATGCCAATGTCAAGAAATTCAATTGCATCAGCCACTGAAGAGCTTAACGTCTGAGCTGCTAGCCGAACATTCATTTTGTGCTTTTCGAATTTGATGTGGTTAGGTGATCACTTGTTGCCCATCTTCAATCCCTTCTGTTCTTGAAGGATGTACAGTTGCTGAAAATGCTCCCACTGTATTTTTTTCCCCTTTGCTATCAATAATTGTGCCAATGCATTTCTAGCAAGTTTCAGCATATGGCATGGATACGCAATAATAAACACATCTTCTCCTGTGGTGGAGTGTTTAAATTTTGGAACAATGGTGTCATACGTTGTGCCGAATTGACAGCCTAGTTGCCGGAAAGTGCTTAGGTTGACTGACGTTCCATCTGCCGTTATAGACCATACCTTTAACCCTGCCTCAGCTGCCATTTCGAGTGCCATGTTTATCAATTGTGCCTGGTGTGTAGATGAGATCTTATCAGTAAGGAAGTTGCCAATTGGACATTTCCAATGGCTTCTAGCCCCAACCAGCAGGAAAACGTGGGCTTCCGAAGCTAACGTCTCCGGATCATCAAGGATCGGTCCTCCCTGGCCATAGTCCACAAAACCAGCATAACAATCCTTCTTTGGGTCCCATATTGTTTGTTTTCTGATGGCCATAGCATCAATAATCAAGCAACATCTCTGCTGACTTCACTTGCCAAGGCAGTAAATGCTTCCTTAAAAAACCTGGTTCACAGTTAGCAGATGATGACCACTTCCGAAGGAGCGATTGATTTGGTAGTGGAATTATAGACCTAACATACCAGTATGCTTTGGGAGAATAAAAATATAGTGTTAGTGCAAATTCCTTCACTTTGTCAGAATATCTTCTACCTGTTGGTGTACTGCTTAAGTTGTCTTTTGCATTTTGAAAAAGCGATAACTGTAGGTTGTCAAATGCTGCATGGAGTATACCTGCCTGTTCCGTGCTTATGACCAATTTTTGTTTTAAATGTTAAATGAGATCTTTCATGCTCTGTAACTTTTCTTAGATTGTCTCAGTTGCTGTTGTAAACCCTTAATTTTTTGTCTTCATTTCTGTTGTAATTCAGATCTATCTGGTTCTTCATCCTGCTCGTCCTCGGTTAAATCTTCAACATCTTGTAGTTCTTTGTTGCATCTTGCATAATTATGTTCACGTAGGATCTTTGCTCCAGGTGACATGGAGTCTGATTCATCTGGTGATAGTGAACGTTTTCTAGGATGTCCGAGCCGTCTCCTTTCTGTATCAGAAAGATCACTCCTGTTAGGTATATCCAATATTGAAAATACTGATGGTACTGCATTTTTCTAATCTACAGGTCTCTTTCACAGTTGTTGGGGGAACAATGTAATCCAATCGTTCAAAATGGTTACTGCATATGAAGCTGTATCGAGTAGCTCTCCACACTTGGCCATCGTTTATTTTCATAACTGCATTCTCCCATTTTTCTAGCATGATTGGATCTTTTAAAGGGAACCTGTGTATACATCCATTTGTGGTTATAGTATCACATATTGATATATGACAGGGAAAAGGGGTAATTAATTTGATATTTTGTAGTGTGCTTTTTATGGTTAAATTAACACAATCAGCGCCAGTGCTTTCCCCTTGACAAGTGAAATTGTCTGGCGTTAGACAGAGTAAAATAGTAAAGTAGGGCGCAGTGCGACTCAGTGGGTTAATTTCACAATTTGTTTCTCTGAGCCCTTTACAGGGTCCTTGTAAGGAACAATTGCCACTTGTGATATACAGTAGAACTGTTGATATTATTAATGGCATTCAGGCCACTTGTGGAAGTGGTCATTAAGTACTTACAGTTTGTGTAGTTTAGCAGTACATAGTTTTACTGTAAATATATATGTGTATTGCATGCCTGGTATGGTCAATTGTTTTCAGTATGTAATTTATTTTAAAAAATACTGTATATTTACCCATGTCAGGTGATGTGTAATACAATTATTGCAGCCTAAGGCTTAATTAATACATTGTTTACATTGTTGCAAAAATAAACACTTGCCTGTGAAATGAAATTTTTGGCTTATTTTCTTTGTCACTGCTGTAATATCCATTACTTTTGCACTTGTGAATCGTACAGTTAACTGGCATGTTATTTTTTCCTTCTGAAAGGAGATAGCTTTTGTTTTTTACTTCAGGAAATGATTTTTTTCTTAAAATCTCATAAAAAATTTGTACTCTGACAGGTGAAAAAGTACTGGGGAGAGTTAATATTTTTTAGAAGATTTGTTTCTGTTTTTGCACGAAAATACTCATTTTTAGTGATACATAGCCTACCTAAAAGGTAAAAAATAAGTGAAAAAGTAAGATTGATGTAGCTTTCGTCCATATATGCTGTGTTCTTTTCAAGTTCCTCACCGAAAGTCCTGAAAATACAAAAGTTTGCCGATGTTTCTTGGCGGCTTTTTGCCGAACTTGTTTTTCACTCGTCAAATAAGTTGATAAAATAACAAAATGTTTCTAAAATTTACTTCTTCTGAAAGACCACTTTCTCTAGTTCGCTAGAGGCACAGAAAAGCTCGACTTTCAAACAGTTGGCTGAAAAATTATGAATATTTTACATAAAATGATGAACATTTTTCATACGGAATTTAGTAAATTTCCGCATAGGGGCCTGGATCATACCTACAAGACGAGCTTCAATTTCCGCCATCTTGGTTTCAATTTTTGAGCCGGAGTTATCGTTCCAGTATATAGTAGAGTTCACTGCTGGGACTCGGCTGACTCATCACATATCCAGTTGGCAAAATGGCAATTATCAGACCTTCGCGAAGGGCTTATCTTTGCCAACAAACTGTTCACGTTGCTGTTCACAAGGGTTTCGTTCTGTTCGTCTTCTGGTTCGTCGTCAATCGTCATCGGCTGCCTCGCTTTCTTCGTCGCTTTCGTCCTCTTCAAAGCGATTCGCTGGAGCAAACAGCGTTAATATTTGCGTCTTTCCAAGACCTTCCAAGAACTTCAACATTTGCCAACGTTGTTGCTTGACAATCTGGGCAATCGCTGATGTTGGGCAGGATGCATTCGATGTGGAACGAATGTCCACAACCACGGAAAACGTTCCAAGTGGATTAACCTTTTTGCAGGCAGGCAAATCACTTTTCTATGATGGAAATTTTAAAGTAGGATTTATATTTTACATTTACAGATCTTGATACAATTATAGTCAGTACGTCCTTGGAAATTGTTTCAAAATATGAGTGTGTACAAAGTTAAAATAGTACTCATAATCTCTAGAACATGCTTGGCGGCCCGGACAATGTTTTCAGTCATTGCAGTTTAGAATTAGCAGTCCTTTTAAAGACAGTGGAACTGGCAGCCATGGCATGGGAGTTGGCAGTTTTTACTTCTCAGCACTGTATAATTATTAAAAGAGGCTGTCAAGTCCGTTCTGCTCATGCGCGTGTTTTGTTTTATACATTTTTGTTTCAAACAATAGATAATTTAATTAAAATTCCGATCTGTGGGCCTCCAAGTTAGCTCCTTACGCATTCAGAATATATCACGAACGAGAAATTGAACTACTAAAGCAAAAATTTAGCCCCAAAACAACAAATTTTAAATCGAAGACTGAAGCACTTCTTACAGAGGTTTGGACAAATTTTATTGAAATTTGCAGACATTTAGCTCATAACCTTTGTATAAAGATGCGTTTCTTAACATTTTCAATCTTAAATTTGTCATTTTGGAGGTAAATGTGTACAAATTTCAATCAAATTTTGTCCATACCTCTGTAAGAAGTGCTTCTTAGCGTTTTCGATTTAAAATTTGTTGTTTTGGGGCTAAATTTTTGCTTTAGTAGTTCAATTTCTCCTTTGTGATATATTCTGAATGCGTAATGAACTAACTTGGAGGCCCACAGATCGGCATTTTAATTAAATTATCTATTTTTCACACAAAAATGTAAACAAAACACGCGCATGAAGAGAACGGACCCGACAGCCTCTTTAAAATTCTGCAATGTCTAAATTGATCTGGTTTTGTCTCAGTGACCCTGTTTTGCCCCATGGTCCCCACACTTCGTAGATTTGAGCAGGCAGGGGTTTATATTGTCATGTACCGGTACATAGTTTACTACAGTCACAGGAAATTATTGAAAGATTTCCCTACCAATGTACTGCCTCTTTTGAAATTGAAGATGTTTAAAAGCATTATATTATTTGCTCTGTATGTGTGTTACTTTAAGTGTACCCTGGTTCCAGAGGCTCTTTGCGAGGCGAAAGAAACAAGAGGCAAGAACGGAGAGCCTCTGGTCACATCAGGGCGTATCACCAGGGGGCAGTGAGACTTACATGTTGAAAAAAGTCCCAAATATCCAAAGAATAATTAATAATGACATTCTATAGTTTTCTTTAGGGGGCAGTTGCCCCTGCCGCCCCCTCCCCTGTGCTGTGTACAGCCCAGGGTCACATCAATTGAAAATCCCACTTCCACACTTGATTAGGTTCAGAATTTGAAACTCGCATGTGATTGCCCATTTGCAAAATTATGTCAAACCGGCTTGGAAAATAACATATTGCTGTAAGCTAATTATAGCCAATCTCGTACCCAGGCTCTTTCCACTACGCGCCTCGCTGGAGGAAGAGTCCAGGCTGGTCACGTGGTCAGATTTTGGGAGATAACAATGGACCATTTGCATTATGGACTTAATTTTGATCTAGACAAAAATTTCATCACAGCTTGAAAGAGCATCACAAAATTAGTAATATTCCAAAGTTTCGTTGCGAAATGTTGTAAATGCAGATATTAGATAATATAACCTTGCGAAATTTGCAATTTTCAGTCATTTTGTATTACAAATGGGAAATTGTTGCCCCAACACCCGATTGGGCTGTCAATTTCCCGTGCGTAATACAAAATGACTGAAAAACGGCAAACTTCGCAAGGCTATATTATCCGCATTTTACAACATTTCGCAACGAAACTTTGGAATATTACTAATTTTGTGATGCTCTTTCAAGTTGTGATGAAATTTTTGTCTAGATCAAAATTTAGTCTATAATGCAAATGGTCCATATGGGGTGCCATGGCTGCCAGTTCCGCTGTCTTTAAAAGGACTGCTAATTCTAAACTGCAGTGATTCAAAACATTGTCCAAATATGTTCTCGAGATTATGAGTACTATTTTAACTTTGCTACACACTCATATTTTGGACCAATTTCCAAGGACGTACTGACTATATATGTATCAAGATCTGTAAATATAAAATATAAGTCTTACTTTAAAATTTCCATCATAGAAAATACGATTTGCCTGCCCGCAAAAAGGTTAATTCACTTGGAAAGTTTTCTGTGGTTGTGGACGTTCGTTCCACATCGAATGCATTCTGTTCAACATCAGCGATTGGCCAACTAGTTTGTCAAGCAACAACGTTGGCAAATGTTGACGTTTTTGGAAGGTCTTAGAAAGACAGCAAATATTAATTCTGTTTGTTCCGGCGACTCGCTTTGAAGAGGACGAAAGCGAGGAAGAAAGTGATGCAGCCGATGACGATTGACGACGAACAGAACGAAACCCTCGTGAACAGCAACATGAACAGTTTGTTAGCAAAAATAAGCCCTTTGCAAAGGTCTGACAATCGCCATTTTGCCAACCAGATATGTAATGAGTCATGCAATACTGT